TGCCCACCAGCCCATCGAGACATGATGCCTAGGAGAGTTACCTTGATTAAGAAAGCGTAGGGACCATGCAGCGGATTATAGATGGGGGCAGCCGTAATGTCGAAGTTCTGGGTCAGCTTAAGCAGACGCAGGCGTAAACCACACATGCCTTCGCGGCGCTGCCGAATCTGGAAGACTTTGCTTGACTGTGCCGGGAGGACGCACCATAGCTTCACCAGCACAAGGGGAGCCGAATTCGGGGCGGCCAGCGGCGTGAGCGAAGGCCATCCTCCCTCTCACAAGGAAACAATCGGGTATAGCCAGGACCCCAGGTAAGGGGACCCGGTTATTGGTGGGGCCCCGGAGCTTTTAAATTAGCCAGAATCACTAAGCCAGGTCTGCCGTAACTGGTGTTTTTTGGGGTGACGGCAGTTCCGGTTAGTGGAATAGGGCGGGGGGGGCGTCCCCCAGTACGCATCACTAAACCAGGTCCCACTAAACCCGGCTCTGCCAACGTCCGAAACAATTTTAGGGGGGCCGAGCATCTCGAGCGCCCTCAGCAGGCCCCAGTAGCCCAGCCCCCATGCAGAGCAGCCAGGGCCATTTAAAACTCCGGGTGTGCCGAAAAGTCGCACCACATTGTGCGGAGGAGAAGGATGGTCAGGAGGCGGGTGGGCGAAAAGCAGTAGGAGCCAAGAGGAGGAGGAATATGATCCGTAGCCATTTTGGCTCAAGTTCCGTGTGTGTGCCATAAGGAACAATATCCCGCTTGTGTGAGCCATAAGGAATAATCTCCCAAAGTCAGACTCATGGTGAATTTGCTTACGTTCGCATTATGTTGCTTATTGAAGTTGGCGGCGAGTTCCGCTGGTGATTCGTTTTTGCCCAACCTTTGGGGAAACACTTCCTCTACTGACGCGCAGACCGTCATTCCGAGTTGGAAAGACGGAATGGTCCGATGTTTAGCGCATTGCGCTGCGTTGCCATCCAAGACTAGAGTCAAACTTGAAGGCATCGCAATCAATTACTTTCAGCAGGAAAACAGCCAGGGCAGTTTCGCACACACGCCCTACAACTTGCCTGCTGACCTTGATGCGTGTCTAAAGAAGCAGCGGGCTTGCAATGTCTATGTGGATACCTTCTGCGCCAGGAACCAGTGCCAGGTTCAATCTTCTGGAGATTTCCTGGACTGGCAACGTATAGCCGAGCCAACTGAACCACCACCGCCTAGTACGACAGTCCTTGAGCATGCGGGATCATCTTTTGATGCACATTTCAAGTGTGCGGCCAAATGCGCCTCGCAGGCATATCTCACTGTAGACATCGGAGACATGACGCCAAAAGGCGACGTGTCTGTCGCGTCTGCGAAATTGAAAGAATGCGGCCTGGTTCATCTTACTGGTGAAGTGTGGCCTAACGGTGTGGTGGACGAGTTCAGGCGTGGGATCGCTAAGATCCAAGCAGATTCAAGGCGCCATGCAGCCCTGAGTGCTCGCCACTTGCGTGCAAACAGGCATGAACTTTACCTTCCTGCAGCTTATGTTAATGTTTCTGAGGTCGGGGTTCCAACCCTAAAGGGTTTATTGGGGAGCACTGTTCCACAGTTGCTGTCGGAGTACATTGGCGACGGGATCTCATTCGATTACGTCAACGTGCTTGAAGCCCGCGGGCGCGTCGCAGGAGATCAAGATCTGCATTCCGATGTGCCGTTCTTCCACAAAACCTCCATAAGCGTGCACACTGCATTGGTTGATATCGTCCCCGAGATGGGTCCAACTATGTTCTGCCCCTGTACGCACTCAGTGACGGACTGGGAGAGCAAGTATCCAGCAGACGAGGGAGAGCAAGTTTGTCGGGCCGACAACCACAGTTGCAGTTCGCAGGGGCTCCCTTTTGCAGAGGAGGTGAGTCTGGCATCGCTGATCAAAAGCGCTGTCAAGAAATTTGGTTCGTCGAGCGGTCGCCAGTGTGTCGGCGCAGTGTACACCCCCGAGGTGGTGCGCAGAGGGACCGTAACGGTTTACGACGGAGCTATATTGCATGCAGGCCTCGCAAACAATGGAGAGAACGATCGGACAGTGCTGAACATGAATTTTGCCTCCCCCCCAGGGTACGAGGTAGCGCATGGTTATGCAAACGGTCAGTCGAAACATATCAAGAGAGTGGTTGCCCAGTGGCGGAAGATACTGAACAATCCTTTGTCTGGAACGCTGCAAGTTGAAGGCAAGTAGGCGCAGACGCGTGAGCGGATGGTCAACGTTGCCCGGTATCGCTCGCGGAATAGTATCATCCAATTTACATCGGATAGTTGGGATCCCATGAGTTTTAGGTTTTGTCAGTGCTACCTCCTTTGCGACCGCAAGACCAACAATTTGATGCTTGGGCTGACCTGGAGTATTTCCATCAGCGCTCACAGGGCAATATTTTCTCTCTTCTAGTCTCGGGCTCTCCCGCCACATTTTCACAGGTGGCCGCGGCTTTAGTGTGGCCAGCGAATTCCGCGGCTCCCTGAGGGCTGCTTCCAGCGGATGTGTTCTTATTAGGGAGTTATTCGCTACAGCAAGTTTCTGCGGTTGAGTACCAACGATCCAGCAACCTTTGTGGTTGAGTATTGATTCCCATTCATCTATTTTTATTACCCGGACCACCCCCATCCCCCCAAAAATGGATCCCCCGAATCCTCGGCCCCCGCCCCCGGATCCGTTGCCCCGGGGAGCACCTGGACGCCTCTGCAGGAGGCCCCCCAGGCGTTTCAAGGCTCCTGGAAGCCCTTGCGGGGCCCAGGCAACGGGCCCAAATCGGTCAGGAGGGCGGCCAAACGCCCCCCCCCGAGGGCGCCAAGAGGGCCCAGACAACCACCAGACCTCCGAAGACGACGCAAAGAAGAACTCCAAGAGGTTTCCAAAATGCAGTAAAATTGGATTTCCCACGGTTTTTGCATGATTTTGGGAATGCCTGTTCTTCGGTCTTACTGGCGTCCGAGACCTTCTGGGAGGCTCGAAAATCGTCCCCAAACCACCCGAAAGGGCTTCAGGCAGTCCAAGAGAGCCCCAAGACGGCACAACAGGGGCACAAGATGGCGTAAGAGAGCCACATCACGGCCCAAGATGGTCCCAAGATGCCTTCCGAAGTATTCCAAATCGTGACCTGGCTGTTCAGGGAGACCGCGGTTTGAGGCAGGGTGGCCCGAGGAAGCCCCCAGAGGCCCCGCGAAGACGCCCAGGAGGCCTCCAGAAGGCCTCAAGAAAACATGAAAAACTTCCGTGAGGCCCCTAGAGGCTCTCCAAGGAGGAGCTTCCGCAAATAGAGCTGAGGAGGATGGGGAAACAGAAACAGAGCCCCGCAAAAAAGAGCTGAGGAGGAGCCTCCGCAAAAGGGTAGGGTAGGGCGAGAATGAGGAACCAAAAACATGGAGAAAGGATCTCACATAACATTATTACAACGGTGATGCTGGAAAAAGACAACCAGTAATTATCGCTAAATTGTTTGTTTTATCTTCATACCATTCCGCCTACATGCCCAACTTCAAGGACCAAGGTGAATGGCGCGAGGCGCCTATGCAGTTTTGTATAATATAAAAGTGTGTGCCACATTATATATACACTGTTGATTACTACGCTGCTGGTAACTTGGCCGCTGGGCGCATCCAACCCAAACAACAACAAACACATGTAGGATGAATATGGAGGAGGAGGAGGTGGAGGAGAAGGAGGAGGAGCAGGCGGAGGAGCACGAGGAGGAGGAGGAGGAGGAGGAGGAGGAGGGGGAATATACTGAGGAAGAGGAGGAGGAGGAGGAGGAGGAGCATCAGGAAGGCAAGCAGACGGAGTATGAGTTTCACGGAACACGAGTCCACTCATTTCTTAGTGAAATTTGGGTGGGGGGAAAGGAGGGGTAGCAGGAGGAGGGATTGGATGAGGAGGAACAGATGCGGATAATAACGATGGGGTTGGAGGGAGAGGAGAATGAGGAAGATAAGGATGCGCGAGGAGGAATGTGGCGGCGACATCGGCAACGGTTCAATTATGAAGGCGTTTGTGCATCTTTCTCCCTGGGAGCTTCTTGGAGCCATCTTGGAGCCATCTTGGAGCCATCTTGCGGCCATCTTGGGTCTCTTGGGGCCCTCGGAGGAGATCGACCAATGATAATGAAAGGTGGGTGGCCAACTAGTCTTGCCCCGCTGGAGCCTGACAAGCCAGCACTTGGGCCCTCTTAGGGCGCTATTCGGCGCCCTTGGGACCGTATCGGAGCCCGCATGGACCCCTTTCGGGGATCTCTTCAACACCGCGTCGCCGAGCGCACGGCCGTGGAAACAGGAATATTTGTGTATGCGTGTGTGGTTGTGTGTGCTCAGTGGTTGCAGTTGCTTTATCAATCGATTGTTTGTGGCACGTTCCAGAATCGAATGCATATGTGTTGTTTGTCGTTGGTGGCCCCTGGTCATTCCTTCTCATGGGGATTTGCATATTTTTTTGAATTTGCTCGTGCCGTGCATTGTCATGTGCGTTCCATAGTGTTGTTTATCTCAGTCAGGGGAGAAGCGTTTAATAGTTGATTGAGTGAGTTTTTGTGTATAGGGGTTCTGGTGGTGGTGGTGGTGGTGGTGGTGGTGGTGGTATTGTAAGCCTGCCTTGCAGTGCCGCTGGCCTATCACGCACAAGGCGTGCGAAGTCGCCATGAACGTGTTTTTATTCGTGGCAGTGTTGGTCCATTTGGGATGACATGCACGTGCACGAACACCATGTACACGCAGCACACCGCATGCACCCCGTCCTCGTAGCACGTCACGTAAGGCGGAAGAGGGCCTCATCAGGAGTATCGGAGGTCCAAAGTTCACGACACGGTTGTCCCATTGTTGGGGCCGCGGTACGCCACAGGTATGCGCCAAGTACGCATACACCACATATTCGACATTCGTGGGCATCACGTTCAGGTACACCGCGCGCGTTTGTTTACACAACCGTGCTCGCGGACACGTGCGCCGCGCGCGCAATTGCGTGCACTTTGCACACATGCTCGCGTCAAGTTGGGCTCGAGGCGTTGTCTGAGGTTGCTTGCAGCTTCGGCGTGCCTGCGCGTGGTTGGCGGCCCAGATGTGGCCGCCCGTTGCGTTCGCCATGCCAGTGGCGCCTGGGCACCGCGTGGCCGCCAGCACCTGTGGCGCCGCCGTGGTTCCCAGCGCTCGCCCTCCTTCCGCAGCGGCGGCGGCGCCTCGGAGGAGCTCCTCGCGGCTGTGCCCGTCCGCTGCGCTCGCCCTCGCGGCTCTGGGGATGCCTGTGGGAGGTGGCCGCGGGGGAGGGCGCGCGGGGGCACGAGCTGGCGGCCGGGTGCGGAGGCGTGCCCGGGAGGTCGTCGTGGAGCTGGAGCGGTCGGCGAAGGTGCTCCTGGAGTCGGGGACCGTCGCCAGCATGGACGCGTTCATGGCCGAGCATTCCACCGCAGTGGCCCTGCAGAACGTGGAGAAAACGGAGGAGGAAGCAGGTGATTCGGGCCAGACGTTGTGCTATCTGGAGCCCACGACCATCGGCCCATTCAGCACCCAGGTTCGGCTCACCGTGGGCATAAGCCTGCCAGAGTCTGGCGAGTGTGACATCGACGTCATGAAAATCGAGGCTGGCTCCGTGAAGAAGGCAGGCGCTGGGAACTTCAAGAGGCTTTTCGCCCACACGAAGACTCGGAATTCGATGTCCTGGAAGATGGGCAGCGAGCGCGGGCTGGAGGTGACGTACACTACCTTCGCGCGCGCTGTGGCTGGCCTGCCTTTCTGGTTTCCGTTCCCAGAAGGATGGGTGAAGTCTGCCATAGAGGGCCAAATCAGCCAGATAGTCAGCTCGCTTCAGGGCGAAGTTATGGACAGATTACGGGACAAGTACATGGCGTGGGAGGCGGCCGCTGGTTTCAGAGAGTCGCGGTGAAACGGCACCGAGCACGCGACAGGACGGTTTCTTTTAAGCAGATGCAGCGTTTTCTGTTTCAGTCCGGCGCTACGTGGTATAGCACCGATGAGTGAGTTTGGCTCGGCCACACGGCAGTGCTTGAATAGTCTTGTGTCCATTCGATCCATGATCTGCGCGCCCCACTAGAGCGCCTGGCACCTACTGATGAGATTTCGCGTGTGTTCCCCGGGGGACTCTGCGCGCGGCCCGGCCCGCGCCCCCTCGCTCCCTGCAGATTCTCCCGTCCGCATGCCCCCGCGCACTTGCGGCTGGCTGCCGCCCCGCCGCTGCGTCCTGAGCGCCAGCGGCAACTGAGTTGACGAGCAGGAGGAGGAGGAGGAGGAGGAGGAGGAGGAGGAGGAGGAGGAGGAGGAGGAGGAGGAGGAGGAGCAGCTCTGGAGCAGCTTTGTGGGTGGGGGGGGGGGCACGCGTCGTGCCCTCCCCACCCCAGGGCCGAGCGCCCACTCGCGCCCGTGTCGTGCACAGCGGGCCGCCGACCCGCGCCCCCGCGCAGCCGCGGCAGTCATCCCGCACGCGGCGGCGGCCGCCTGCGCCGCCCCATCTCTCCTGCTCGGATGTGCTGCGCCGAGCTCGTTCCTGCCTTGCAGCAGGAGGCGGATGGAAGGTCCGCCGCGCGAGGCACGCTGCGTGCGGGCGCACTTGGCCTCCTGCCTCTCGGCCTCCAAGCGGCTGCGGTGCTGCGGGCGCCTCCGCTCACGCCCAGCAGCTGCGGCCTCACACTCGCCGACCTCCCGCGCCGTCGCCTCTCCAGCCGAGCCGGGGGGCCACCAGGCGGGCTCCCGAGTCCAGAAGTGCCCACGCGGGCTGGTCGCTGGGGCTGCGGATGCACCCCGTCAGCTGCGCTGCTGGGGCTGTCTGCCTTCTGGCCCGCTGCTCCTTGGCACGGGCTCCCGTGGGGCCATCCTGAAGCTTCCTTGGCCGTCTGGGGGATCCATTGGGTCTGTCGTAGGGCCGTCGTGGGGCCTTTTTGGGCCGTCTTGTGGCCCTCTTGGGCCATCTTGGGTCTCTCCAGAGGTCCTTTCGGGCCAGCCAGCTTTGTTGGGGCTTTTTGCCGCCACTCGGGGCCTACTTAAGGGCTCTCTTGACTCCTTCCGTGGGCCTCTTTTGGCCCTCTAAGACCTCAAGTGAACCGAACTTCTACCGAAGAGTGCGCAACGCGAACACACCGTTGAAAGTCTCATGGGCGTACTAGCTTGTGGCCTCTCGAGGGCCTGGAGAGCGTCTTGACGGTGTCCCGCGGCCTGTTTGGAGGTCTCTTGGGACGTAGCGGGCGCTTCCGAGGGGCTCTTGGGGTGCGTGTTGATTAGGAGGGGAAACAACACACAGACAATTTATCGTCGACTCCCAGGAACATATGGGACACTGAGGGAAGTGGGGGGGAAGACGAAGACACATAAAATATATGAAAATGTGGGGAATTCTGGGAATTGTGTGTAATTATTGGTGTGTCCCTGGGCCCCTTTAGCGGATGCAATGCTGGGCCATCTTGGCGGCGTTGGTGGCTCTTTCGAGTCGTCCTGGAAGCCTTGCCTTGGAGAGCTCGGCAGAGCCCAGGGAGGCGCCGGGGCCTCCCAGGGGAGCCTCGGGAGAGAGGGGCGAGGCGCGCGGCGAAGCGCGACAAGCAGACTGCAGAGGAGGAGGAGGAGGAGGAGGAGGAGGAGGGGGAGGAGGAGGAGGAGGAGGAGGAGCATGAAAAAGTACGGCTGGGAGGGGGGGCTCGTTGAAATATCACAGAGAGCACGCCGGGCTCGGCGGCGAGCGAGGGGGGGTAGGTGAGAAGGGGCGGAGGCTCGGCGGAGCCCCTGCCTTCTGGGAAAGTTGTCGAGGCCCTCCCCGACGACGCGGAGAGCCTCTCAGAAGGCGCGATGGCTTCTGAGAAGTCTCGCCGCCTTCGAGAAAGTTGTCGAGGCCCTCCCCGAAGACGCGATGAACCTCTCAGACGGCGCGAGGGCTTCTGAGAAGGCCCGCCGCCTTCTGAGAAGGTCTTCTCTTTCTTGCTTCCCCCCTCGCTCACCGCCGATAGTCGGATCTCTTCCACGGTCAACGTGACATGAGACACGGGGTCGGCTTGTTCCGGTTGTATCCATAATTTGTTTCTTGCGATGTGCGATTGGCAGATCGGCCATTTGACTGGTTTGATTGGCCGCACGCGCAAACAATATCATGCCAGTTTCACTTCGACTGGCTGTTTCATGTTCCGCAACCGAGGCCCCATGGCGCTACTACTTGCAGGCCGTGTCCTGTTCTGCAGCCGAGGGCGCATCCGACGGCGCAGCCAATAGCAGGCCGTGCCATGTTCGTTGGCCACCGAGGGCGCAGCCGACGGCGCAACCAGTTGTGCAACCCCTGGATGCCGCAACTCCATCCAATGAACTGCGCAATCCGTGGCGCAACCTATGGTGCAATCTATGGCTAGGGCGCCCCGATCGCTTCCTGCGGTGCTGCGCCCGATTTGTGCTCGTCGATGGAGCTGTAGCTGGGGCCCACGCGGCGAGCTGCCTCGTGATGCAGAACGGGGTCCTCGCTTGAATGACATGCCCACGGGGCTCTCGTGTTTCAGTTGGGTGGGGCTTCCCTCAGTGAAAAGGCGTGCTGCGGGGGCCCTCGTGAGGACTCGGGCAGCATCGCTGACGCACCCCGGGTTTACTCTGGTCCAAGAACTCCGCGTCCCCCCCCCTCTTCCCCGTCCCCCTCTTCCCCGCCCCCCTCCTCCCCCCCTTTCCTCCTCGCACTCCTCTCCCTCCTCCCTCCCCTCTCTTCGTCCTCTTCTCTTCGTCCCTCCTCCCCCTTCCCGTCCAGCTTTCCGTTTCCCTCGCCTCGGCCCGGAGCGGCGCGGCCGCCAGGCCTCAAGCGCCTCGCCTTCCGGGTGGAGCGCGCCTGCGCGAGGGAGCTGGAGCAGATCTTGCGACGGACCGCGGCCGCCGCCAGAGGGGATGGGGAGGCCTCCCCCTCAGAGGAGAGAGAGAGAGAGGCGTACCAAATATCGCTACCGTTCACCTGTTCCTTCGCCTTCGCCTTCTGGGCCTCGGAGCTCCCGTCAGAGCGCACCCTGGGAGAGGTCCGTTGAGCAGAGAACCCGCGGAGGTGGATTCCATCCATCCCTTCCAAACCTCCTCCTCCTCCTCCTTCTACTCCTCCTCCTCCTCCTCCTCCTCTCTTTACTTCGCCTCGTCCGCCTTCCGAACCTGTCACTCCTCCCTGCTGCCAAAACCCTCTGGCATCCCTCGCTTCGCTCCAGCCTCACCATTCAAGATTCTGAAGTCTTAAAGTGGCAATCATTTCACATATGGAGGGCGGGTCGTTTTCAAAATGTGGCTCTCGCCTTCGCGCAGCGTACATTCGTTTTAAACATTTGCAAGAGTTTCACGGATTGAGGGTGGGCCGTTTTCAACATGTGATTCTCGCCTTAGCGCGGCGTACATCTTTTCAAAAATTGCAAGAGGTTCGCGGATTGAGAGCGGACCGTTTTCAAATTGTGGTTCTTGCCTTAGCGCGGCGCACATTCGTTTTAAACATTTGCAAGGGCTTCACGCATTGAGGGCGATTGGTTTTCAAAATGTGGCTCTCATCTTAGCGCGGCACACATTCGTTTCAAACATTTGCACAGGCTTAACGGATTGAGGGCGAATTGTTTTCACAATGTGGCTCTCGCCTTAACGCGGCGCACATTCATTGTTAGCATGTGCAGGAGGTTCACAATTTAAGGGCGGCTTCTTTTCAAAAAGTGGTTCTCGCCTTAGCACCGCGCACATCCGTTTACACAATGTTCAAGAGTTCCACGGGCTCCCAGCATCAACGTACCAGACGTGGTGTTTTGAAAGGACTCAGGATCATGCTGGTGCAAGAGTTACATGGATTCCCTGTGCTGAAGTCCTACGAATAGCGTCCTGGCGCGATTCAGGACCGTCAAGGCACAACAATCAGGTTGATCCGTGGCGTTGAAACCCTGAGAACCATGTTTTTGTATGCTTCAGGGTCTCCAAACGGGTGTCTTCCAACGAGGCAGTTCCATCAATGGAAAATGCACCCTGGTAGGGGCCTATGAAGAGGGATCTTGGAGGGAGGGTTTACTCTAACATCGTTGATGATTCTTGGGTCTACACTGGTCCTCCTCCTCTTCCTCTTCCTGTTCCTCTTCCTCCTGCTCCGCCTCTTCCTCCTCCTCCATCCCTCCTCCTCCATCCCTCCTCCTCCATCCCTCCTCCTCCTCCTCCTCCTCCTCCTCCATCCTCCCTCCTCCCTCCTCCCTCCTCCCTCCTCCCTCCTCCTCCCCCCCCCCTCCTCCTCCTCCTCCTCCTCCTCCTCCTCTCCTCCTCCTCTCCTCCTCCGTAGCCATTTTGGCTCAAGATGCCTAGTTCCACAGTGGAACAAGTGGATACCGCTAGTCCGCGGCCAGTGCCAGGGCTCTTGAGCCCGACAGCTTTGTTCAACTCTCCGTGTGCCTCCTGCAGCCCGCAGGTGAGTTTCCTCAGTCTCTCTCGTCCATGGCGCCTCCGCAGCAGCGCAGCGCCTATGTCAAGTGCTACTCCTGCTCGTACTCCTGGAACTACAAGACCAACCAGACGTGCTACTGGTGCAGCAAAGCCTTGGCGCCGTGGACAGACTCCCCGCCTCCAGTTCAAGGCGCCTGGGCGGCCCGCGCCAAGGCCGCAGCCCAGGCCGACTCCAGCTGTACCCAGCAGCCCAGCCCCGAGACGGGATGGGAACCGTGGTCGTCATGGCCCAAGTCCCGCCGCCGCCGAGGCAATGGCAATGGCAAGAACCAAGAGGACGACTGGTGGGCCAACAAGAACGACACCCCCAAGGTACGCTCCGCAGAGGACATCCTTGCGGAGCTCCAGGCGGTCGCCCCCCACATCGACAAGGCAGCCATCGACGGTATCAAGTCGCAGATCCCGCCGCCCCAGCCGCAGAAGCCAGCCGACCTCAACGACATCTACAGCCGCGCCCAGGCCACGGAGCGCCGCTGCAAGAACAACCTGGAGAGGCTGCTCGAGAGCGAGCAAAAGGCGCACAGCTGGTACACCGAGCGCAAGGCGGCGTCGGAGGATGCCGGCTACAAGTTGGCAGAAGCCCAGGCCGAGGCCCAAGCCGCTCTCGATGCCCTTCAAGTCGCTCGCAAGGGCGGCACGGCTACTCCCACGGCCTCGCAGCAGAACCCGACGTTCAACCTCACCAGCCTTCTCGAGGACGGTGACATATCCATCGAAGCGGGTTCGGCGTTCGATCTCCAAGGCCTCGACATCGACGACAGCGATCGCCAGGCATGGGAATCCCTTCAGCAGCGTTTCGCCACTGAGCTCAAGGCCAAG